CACCGGGCATCCCCAAAAAAGGATGCTTAATAACCGAGCTTATTACGTGCAGAGAACGTGAAACCCGTCCACGCGATACGCGCCACACAGCATATAGATATAGATAATATATATATATATAGTAGTTTATGACTCCTCTATTGCACGTTTCAGAGGGAACCAGAAAAACAAAATTGAAATCTTTTCTTTGTGAGTTGAGTTTTACATCGATTTTAAAAATGGTAGAAGTTTTAAAATTATCATGATTTGTGTTGTCATAATTCTAATTCTCTCTCTACTCAAAATAAAAATAAATAAAAAACAATTTCATTCTAAAATGTTACAAAGTTTTCAACATCGTGCGAAGCATTTTATTGTGTCAGTTTGGCTGGCGGGAGATGACCTACTTTGAATATTTTCAATATCAAGTTTGTCTTTTTCTCTAACATTGGGGTCAAATATTCAGAATACTGCTATTCATAGAAATGAATGACTGTATACTTTTCAGTTTAGTTCTAGGTGTCGGTCGCTGGATTCTATTTAGTTCTAGGTGTTGGTTGCAGGATTACTGATATTGAATTTTGTAAGTTTAAGTTTAAAACTGGCCATGCTGACCATGATCTTAAATACTTACTTTTTAACTGTTCTATAAAGTTTCTAATCCACAATTTGTTTTTTTTTCTCATCAATTATCTATATCTGAATGAGAAATGTCAGTAATTTTGAATATGCAATGACTCAAAGTTATAATTTGTTTTTCCTGGCTACTGTTAAGATACTGTGGAATACTTTATTTTCGCCAGAATTAATTTTCGCTGAAAAGGCTGTTTGGGCGTTCTTTAGGGAATTTATTTTCACGATTTTTGGTGAGTTGAATGTGAAATATAGGAAAAAAAGTATATTCGCTGGATTTTATTTTCGCGGAATCATCCTATCAGCGATAATAGCGAAAATAAAGTATTCTACAGTAGGTAACATGTCATTGTAAGGTTTGGCAACTCATAAGTTGTAACTTGCCTTCCTATAATACTGTAGAATACTTTATTTTCACTTGGAATTTATTTTCGCTGAAGGGCTGCTTCAGTTAAAATAAAATCCAGCGAATATACATTTTTTCCTATGTTTCACATTCAAGTCATCAAAAATCGATGAAAATAAATTCCATACAAAACGCCCAAAAAGATTTTTTTCAGCTAAAATAAAGTATTTCACAGTAGCTTGCTTCAACTAACATTCCCATGTATTGCATAAATTATGCGTGTAAATGTTCAATTTGGGCAAACAAGTCAGGAAACAAAAATTAAAAACAGTGACAGACTGTTGTGGCATTGAAATAATTTCACTGTTGCTTTAGTGTAGCAAGGAACAATGTGACTAAAAAGTTGTAGCAAAGTAACATGGTTTGGGTTACAATTGTCGTTATCGTGTGCGAATGCTGTCCACGTTTGATACGTTTCTTGTGCTGTGCCCCTTTCTAATATTACATCAATTCTATTTTTAGTAATGTGTGACACACTATTCAGAGTACTGAAAAATAATTAATCGAACATGAAACATTTATTTCGGTAATTGGTAGTTTGTTTTGAATGCGAGCTTGTCTTTTGATGTAGAAAAACAAAAGTGTTAATTTTCAAGTACTCTAGTTGTGATACTAATTTTCAAAAATGGGTCAAGAATTTGTAGACGTGTCAGCTTGGACTACTTGTAATTTAAGACGGAGTCTGTGCAGCCTGTTAGAATACCTGGTATCAAATAACTGTAAGGCTCCAACTTTGTTGAGCTTACAAAAATTTGGGCCAGTTTTGCAACTAATGGCAAACACAAATTACGGCAGACAATTTTTCTTGGAAAAATGGTCAGCGTTTGTATTTTCTCAAATATAAGCTTGTATAACCCGAAAATTATCTTTATAATATTGAGTAAATATATCTCAACACCATAATATTTCTCTCTAACATATCAGTATTTCAGTATTAAACGATAAAGAGAGATCCTTCAGTGAAGAGATAATCCACTAGTGTGATTACTGCCAATTCTGTTTTGAACCAGTAGTAAATCATTCGTGATGGGTTGTTCCATTTTCAGGAACAGTGGTTTCTAGCATTTTTGTGGGTTTGGGAGTTATGGTAGATGTTTTCTGTTACATACAAGAAAAATGCATTGTTTATCTTCTTCTGTCATCCTGCGGCTTCCAAGCGGCCATTTTGAATCTCTATCTTTGGCATTATGAGTTTGTTTCAAATGGTCAGTTTGCATCCTT